CACAGCAGGGCTGGCACAGCCCAGGGGCCATTGGCCTCCTGCCCCCCCGGGCACACCCGGGCTCGTGTCCAGCCACTGTCACCAGCACCCCCAGGGCCTTTCCTCCCAGGCACTTTCCAGCACCCCTGCCCCAATCCTGGAGCAATCCATGGGATTGTTGTGACTCCAAGGGCAGGACCTGGAACTTGGCCTTGTTCACCTTCACATCAGTGACCTCAGTCCCTGGATTCAGCCTGTCCTGGGCTGGGACCAGCAGAGCTGTGGTGTGGAGCAGGGATGTGCTGTTCTCTTGTACAGGCTGGGGGGCTTTGGCCCCTGGACACGGAGTCCTGGATGTGGCTGTTGGCAGTGGGAAGGTGTTGGGTAAGGCTGCTGCAGGGTGGGTTGTCCCAGGTGTGCCCAGCTGGGTGAAAGGAGGGCTGTTTTTTGGGAAGTGAGCTCATCTGGGTGAGCCTGGGGAGGGGCTAAGCAATTGTGCCAGTAGCAAAGGTGCTCTGACAGCATCGTGCTGCTTTTGTTTGCCTCGCTGATGGAGAGCTTTGCAAGCAAGGTCTGAGCACAAAAAACCAGAAAACAGTGATGGGAGAGGATACAAGGAGCCACAAAATGCTGGATGCAGGATAGCAGGGAGAAGGGAGGAAAGCAGCAATGGAAATGAGGGGAGAAAGGTCACTGATGTGCAGATGGTAACTTTGCTTTTAGGGCAACCAGAAGCAGTGGGCACAGTGGGATGTGAAACCACTGGAATGATGGGGGATATTCCTGCAAGGGAACAAGCTCTGTCTAAATGCTGCAGCCCGTCCTTGTTTCTCTGTTTGAGGAGCTTGTCCAGTTCCTTGGATGGGAGTGTGGACTGTGGGATGTCTCCATGGATCTTTGCTGGATGAGGGTGCATTGGTGATGTTTTGGGGACTGTCACTGCATGTTTTGGGGACTGTCACCGAATGCTGGGAAATAAATTCTCCAACCAATTTGCTTGGTTAGAAATGCAAACTTCACTTTATTAGCAATGCTGGATGCATGGGGATTATTCCTCAAAGTAGCAACCCAACAGACCAGGTTATATTCATGAAACTAGTACATATTCATCATATTTATATTACATATTCATCACATTTCCTGAATACATACGTATATGCTAATTATTTATATAAACTTATTTGGATATGAGTAGGGATCTTTTGAGGGTCTTTGGTGGTCACTTGGGAACATCCCATTCCCTAGAATTTCCTTTTATGGTCTGGGATCTTCTGAATCTTCCTTCCTTGAGAGTATCTCAGATATCTGGTCAAGTCCTGATACACTTCTCTAATCGTTCTTTACTCTGACACTCTTATCTGTGTTCTCAAAACTAAGATATCTACTAGTACATATTAATCACTAATATAAGTAAATGAGGAAGCACAGTACATATTAATCACTAACATAAGTAAATAAGGAAGCATTAGCTGACACAAGCCTTGCTAGTCACAGATGCAGGGAGGTAACACAATCTCTGGTATTTGTACTAAGTACTGTATGGCCCAAAACTAACCATTAACCATGAACATAGGGACCAGACACTATTGTGCTAAAGTTAAAAGAATTTTCCAACATCTTGCCCTGCTGCTGCAGAGACTCCTTCTTAAAGAAATACCCCTTGTTTGGTAACAGGAGGGGCTGTGTGCAGGGGCACTGACCCTTCCTTGTCCCTCTGTTCCCGTGCAGGACGCAGGCAGAGATGGCCCACACGTGTCGGGGCACCATCAACCTGTCCACGGCCCACATCGACACGGAGGACTCGTGTAACATCGTGCTGTCCAACGGGGGCAGGACCTACCACCTGAAGGCCAACTCGGAGGTGGAGCGGCAGCGCTGGGTCACGGCCCTGGAGCTGGCCAAGGCCAAGGCCATCCGCATGCGGAACAACCAGTCAGGTAGGGAGCCTTCCCAGTACCCCCTGGCACCCAGATCCTCCTCCTCAGTCCCCCCTGCAGCAGCTCCTCTGTGCCTGCCCAGCTGTGCAGAACCTGCGCGGATCCGGTTTCACGCACGGTGGAACAGAGCTGATGGTTTCCCAGGGACACAAAGGGTTGGACACAATGCTGTGGGCACCACTCCTCTTCTCAGCTGGTTGGGCAGCTCTGGGAGGTCTGTAGAGCTGTGGTAATGGCTGTACATTGTGGGCAGCCAGTAACAATGAACTCATGATGATGAACTCGTCCTGGAAGGCAGGATGATGTGCCTTTCTCCTGGAGACTCTGCTGCTCTGTGTGGACAGGGAGTGCTGTAAATGCAGCAGACAGTGGCCCGTGCACCACATGGGTGGTGTTCCCATGGCTTAGTTTGGTAGATGACACGTATATTTAGTTGAGCTGGCTCTGTGTGTATCTCTCCTCCTCCCCCCTCCACACACCATGCTGTGCTGTGGTGTTTGTTGTGGTATTTATTGGAGCAGCTTTGGCACTGCTGCATTGTGTAAAACTGTCAGAGCCCCGTGCCTGTGACACAGCTCCTCCCCAGAGTGACATTGTTACTGCTCTGCTGGGTAATGGGTTGGTTAACAAACAGAATATTTTAGAAATAGTTCAGTGTTTATAACTCTTTTGGGATTAACCTTGGGTTTTCTTCCACAAACCAGCATGGCTTCAAGTTGCAGAAAACAAACCTCAGGAATGGAGAAAAGAAGGCTCCAGGGAGACCTTAGAGCCCTTTCCAGTACCTAAAGGGTACTTCAAGGGTACTTCAACCTAAAGGGGTTTCAAGAGAGCTGGACAGGGACTTTGGAAAAGGGCCTGAAGTGCCAGGACAAGGGGGAATGGCTTCCCACTGGCAGGGTTAGATGGGATATTGGGAAGGAATTCTTCCCTGGGAGGGTGGTGAGGCCCTGGCACAGGTTGCCCAGAGCAGCTGTGACTGCCCTGTCTCTGGAATGTTCAGCCCTGGATGGGGCTTGGAGCAACCTGGTCTAGTGGAAGGTGTCCCCTTCAGGGGGTACACAGACAGGAGAGTTGGAAGATGGTCTTTAAGGTCCCTTTCAACCCAACCTGTTCTGTGATTCTGTGATTCTGTGAATGTATCAAAAAACTGGCTGTGTCCTCTGTCCTGAAATAAATAAGATCTTTTATTGGATACTGGAAATCACCATTTTCTCTTATTTCATCATTTTCCCTTCTAGGAGAGAGAAGATGGAGTGAACACCTGATTTTATAATGCTTCTCTTAAAATGAAAATGTATCTGCATAAAATTCCCTGAATATTTAAGAGAAGGGGCGTGTGAAGGCAGGACTGGGGAGTGCAGTGGTGAGGGATCTGTGGTGGATCCTGGGGTCACTTTGGTTCAGTGCCCATCACACCTCCCTGTCCTGGCTCAGGTTTGGGCTTTGGGCCCCTGCAGATGCTGCTCTGTGTGGAGAACGTTCATCCAGAGGTACAGTGTGAGCTCAGCTTTGAGTCACCCTGGGCCAAGGCTGGGGTTGGTTCAGTGTGCCAGGAAACCCCTCAGCTTCCCTGTGGGAAGTGCTGCTGTGTGCACAGCAAACCCCCAGCGCTGAGGGGGACACAGGGCACGGCTGTGAGGGGTTGGAGGAGCAGCAGAACTCCGAGTGCTGACGGTGTGAACTGGGGGGGAACAAACCCCAGCCCTGGGCTGAGGTGGCTTCTGAGCAGTGGGTGGTCACACAAGGGCAGGCAGATGTTGATTCATGTGTCAGACACCCATTTCCCAGGACTGTTGAAGCATGATGTGTGCCAGGGCACTGGCATCCATGGACTTCGAAGCTTTCCAGGGCCTAAAGGGGCTCCAGGAAAGCTGGAGAGGGAGTTGGGACAAGGGATGGAGGGACAGGACAGGGGGGAATGGCTTCCCACTGCCAGAGGACAGGGATAGATGGGATATTGGGAAGGAATTGTTCCCTGGCACAGGTTTCCCAGAGAAGCTGTGGCTGCCCCTGGATCCCTGGAAGTGTCCAAGGCCAGGTTGGACGGGGCTTGGAGCAACCTGGGCTAGTGGAAGGTGTCCCTGCCCATGGCAGGGGGTGGGACTGGATGGGTTTAAGGTCCCTCCCAACCCAAACCATTCCATGATTCCCTGATTCTAAGTATTGTGAACTCTTTGTCCCTTAGAATTCCAGCTCTGGAATATGCAAATGCAGGGGGAGAGCACAGCTGACCGAGGAGAAGGGGGAAGTTACTGGGCACACTTGTTTATCCGGGCAGAGGGTGACACTGTGCTGGTCCTGGCTGCAGTGAGCTGGCTGTGGAGGCTGTTGGTCCAGGAACATCCATAGTGGGATGTGAGTCCTTTATCTGGGTGAGTGTGTGGAAAAGGGTCTCATGGAGAGGTGGGTGTGTGGCTTCACCTTCCCCTTCTGGCCCGTGGGGCCGCGGGTGATGCTGGGGAGACGTGGAGGGGCCGTGGAGCTGCAGCCCAGCCCGGGGCCGTGGGAGCCTGTCAGCAGCACTGCCCCAGAGCCAGGCACAGTTATTTTGGTTTGTCTCTTCCCACAAAAATAGCAAGTGCAGAGACTTGCTGTCCTGAGGCTCTGGCTGTGCTGAGTTCCTCACTCAGGGCTGAGGGCAGGGCAGCAGCAGTGCTGGTGTGGCTGTGCTGACTCAGCTGCCATCCAGCCCAGGGAGCTCAGGGGAGATCAAAACCACACACACTCCTCTTATTCCAGGCTTTTCTGATCTGATCTGACGGGATAATACACTCTGTGAGCAGGTGCTGAGTCCTTGTGCTGTGGAGGTAGAGCTGAGGAGATCACTACGTTACTTTGTGCTTTCACGTTCACCTGGCTGATGGTGTTTTGTCCCAGTTAGAGATCTTTTCATTTAGGTAAAGAGTTTGTGTGTTAGGTTTGACTGTTTTGCTTGAATCAAAATAAAATTCCTAGTGTTGTGTCCCTGTGAGTGCTGGGTGAGCCCTGGGGTGGGTGTTAAGGAAGGAGGAGACTCTGGATTTGCTGAAGAAGTTCTGCTCTCATGGGGAATTGTCTGAATTGGCTCCTCTTACCCTGAGTGATCCCCCAAACCCGTGTTGTTTTCCAGGGCTGCTCTGCAGAGCCCAGATGGGCTCCAGTGGGCACAGAGGGTGGTGAGGAGCCCTATGGATCTGTGCTGATGAGGAGGAGCATCAGTGACTCTCACAGGCTGTGTCTCTGCAGGAATCAGTGCTCCCTCCCTGCCTTCAGGGGGTTTGACATTTGAGGGGTGTCAGACTGGCAAATTGGGGTAACTCTGCACATACCTTGGCTACTGGGAGACCATTTTGGGGTGGATGAAAAGAGTCTGTGGAAGTGTTTTTAACTTGCTTGCTGGCTGGAGCTGTGCACCCAGAGAGGCCTTTTCACAGGTCTGATTTTCATGTCTGTTTTTAAGAAACAGCAAAACCTGTCCCCTGAGCAAGTATGAGATGGGAGACTTTGCTGTTCCCTGTGCTGTGTAGCTGGAGGAGCTCTGGTTTCCCCTCTGCCCAGTGCAGAGCTGGGACTATTTTGGTAACAAGCTGTGACCTGGGACATTGGTGCTGAGAGAGGTGGCCTGGGCTCACTGTCATCCTGCTTCCTGGGGAGAAACCTGCCTGGGGATCCCGGGGGATTAGTGGCAGAAAGTGAGAGTAGAGCTGAGCTGCTGGCTTAGCTCTGCTCAATTACCACGTGTGCTTAATTCCTCTCAAACACATGTGTAGTGTCACAGGAGGACAGCAGGGTCCCACACCTGACTGGACAGCTCACCTTTAGCCTCTGTTCAGCCAAACCTGGCATTCCTGTTCCTAGTTGGGATTACAAAGTGTTGGTAAAGTTGTAGTAAACTTGATCTGCCCACATGGTTCCCAGCTCCATCACCTGCTTTCATCAGTGCTGGGTATGACCCTGTGCTGTTCTCTATCCTGAAAATCAGATTTCTGTGCTCACCCCCTGTATTTGGTGACTGTGGTTGGTTGATATTCTTTAAGAAAAAAATATAAAAATATGTATAAAACTATCCTTTGTTTTTAGGGCAATATCATGAGATACAGAAATGATATGAGTGATGAATATATGGGGATTGTTTTCTTGGCTCTGTGATGAGGAGGTCTTGGGAAAAGTGTGCAAGAGGAGGTTAGGAATCTGTCTCCGTATTTTAAACACTGGGAAAAGTCCCCAAAATGGGCTTGGGCTGCTTGGGGAGGGAGTTGGTGACTCCTTTTGCCCCCCTGCTTGGCGGTTCCTGGGAGGAGAGAGGGTGAAGGTCCCACTGTGATTCAGGTGCTTGTCTGATCTGGAGCAGATTCCAGGCTGGCTTAAGGTGGTTTTGGTGTTCATGGAACTAAAATCCAGGAATTCACTGGATGGGTCAGTGCTGGTATCTGTGCCAGGACCAACTCATCTGCCAACTGTGTTCAGAGGTGTCTGGTTCCTTTGGCTGGGGCTGAAGTCAGTGCAGCAAAAAAAATGGGAATTGATAAGAAAAGTGGAAAAGATAAAAAGTAGGTTTGCTCCATGTGCAGCTGTGATGTTGTCCCTGGAGAGGCCCTGGCTCTCCCCATGTTGGCTCAGAGGGTTTTCAGCAGAACTTAAAAAACCAAAATCAAAGCAAAAAACCAAACAGGCACAAGATTAAGCAGACAAATAAAACCTCCTCCACCAAGGGAAGGGGGATGATGGAAAGTAAATTTTCCATCTGGAAGAACAACAGCTGAAGGTGCCACGTGGAAGATGGTCAGTGCTGCAGGAAATGTGCTGGAGCACAAGTCTGATGAGTCTGAGGGAGCACAAGTCTGAGGGAGCTGGGGGGGCTCAGCCTGGAGAAAAGGAGGCTCAGGGGGGACCTTCTGGGGGACCTTCTCTACATCTCCCTGACAGGAGGGGGCAGCTGGGGGGAGTTGGGCTCTGCTCCCAGGGAACCAGGGACAGGAGGAGAGGGAATGGCCTCAAGCTGTGCCAGGGGAGGGTCA